TTTCTCCTCCTCCTCATTCTTTTTATTCTTCTTGTCCTCCTCCTCCTTCTCCTGCTCCTCCTTCCTCCTCCTTCTCCTCTTCCTCTTCTTCCTCCTCCTCCTTTTCATTCTTCTGATTCTACTTCTTCCTTCCTTTCTTCCTCCTCCTCCTCTTCTCTCCACCCCAGATCTTGTCGGAGTGGAAGCAGAAGTATGAGGAATCCCAAACCGAGCTGGAGTCATCTCAGAAAGAAGCCAGGTCTCTCAGCACGGAACTCTTCAAGCTGAAGAACGCCTATGAGGAATCTCTGGAACATCTGGAGACCATCAAGAGGGAGAACAAGAACTTGCAAGGTGGGTTGGCGTCCTTCACGTTCAGAGCCCCCTTATTTCTAGGTTCTGCTTCCAACATTTTCTTCTCTTTTCATACAGAGGAGATTTCAGATCTCACCGAGCAGCTCGGAAGCACCGGCAAAACCATCCATGAACTTGAGAAGGCACGGAAGAGCCTGGAGGCTGAGAAGATGGAGCTGCAGTCCGCCCTTGAAGAAGCTGAGGTGAGAAGTCCTCTTGGCTGTGAAAAACCAGAGCCCTCAACTCAGGTTCTCCACCATTTTGTTTTCTGTTGAGTTCCTCCCAGGCTTCAGGAGGACCTTCAGAATGTGGGTAAAGAACTCAAAATGGCGGCCAAAATAACATGGTGCTTTCTAGATGCCATTTCTTCTTGCCTTCAAAAATAGGAAGAGACCTCCAAGGTCCCTTCCAGCTCTATCCTGATTGATCGATAGTCAAGGACTGGAAACTTAACCAGGATTAAACAATGGTGTTTATGTTATTAAAAAAATTACCATACCATAGATAGCTCCATCTGTGTGGGGACTGAGTTCCATTCATAGGATACAGGCAGTCCTCAAGTTATGGCCAAAATTGAGCCCAAAATTTATGTTGCTAAGTGAGCCCGTTGTTAAGTGAGTTTCACCCCATTTTACAATCTTTCTTGCCACAGTTGTTAAGTGAATCGCTACAAGTTGTTAAGTTAGCCACAAATTACTAAGTAAATCTGGCTTCCCCATTGACTTTGGTTTGTGGAAGGTCGCTAAAGGGAGATCAATCACGTGACCCTGGGATATTGCAATCGTCATAAATACAAATTAGTTGCCGAGTGTCTGAATTTTGATCGCGTGAAGATGGGGACGCTGCAACAGTGTGAAAAACGGTCACGCTTCATTTTTTCCATTGCTGTTGTAATTTGGAATGGTCACTAAATGAAATGTTGTAAGTGGAGGACTACTTGAATTTTAGTTTCTTCATTGGAAATAGGGGTGGCAATATTTGGGAGCACTGGAAACTTTGAGAACTTGCAGACAAAATGACCACTGTGATAGAATTGCCTTCTCACAAAATGGCAGCCACGATGATCCAGAAGAGATGGAGCTTTCTGGAGGCAACACATTGCTATCCTGAGTTCCTGTTGCTATCATGGTCACCATGTTGGCTACCCAGGATCTAAGGATTCTCTCTGCTGTCTTCTCTCTCTCTCCTGTCCAACCTTTCCTCAAACTTTAAGGCCTCTCTGGAACACGAGGAAGGCAAGATCCTCCGAGCTCAACTGGAGTTCAACCAGATCAAGGCCGAAATCGAGCGCAAGCTGGCCGAGAAGGACGAGGAGATGGAGCAGGCCAAGCGGAATCACCTGAGGACGGTGGACTCGCTCCAAGCTTCTCTGGATGCCGAGACCCGCAGCCGCAACGAGGCCCTGAGGGTCAAGAAGAAGATGGAGGGCGACCTCAACGAGATGGAGATCCAGCTCAGCCATGCCAACCGCATAGCAGCCGAAGCCCAGAAGCAAGTGAAATCTTTGCAAGGCTACCTGAAGGTACAGCCTGGACGTTGGTCTGGAGGAGCACCTTCCTTCCTTCCTTCCTTCCTTCCTTCCTTCCTTCCTTCCTTCCTTCCTTCCTTCCT